TTAGGGCGGGTTTGGGGCGGGGCGCTGCCCGCTCGGTTCCGGTGCCGCCATGGCGGCCGGAGCGTGGTTGGCGCTGTTGGCGGCGCTGCTCGCGGTAACCGGGGCTGAGCAGGAGCGGAGGGTGAGCGGGAACGGCGGAACGGCACCGGAGAACCGGGAGAACCGGGATCGGAACCGAAAGAACCGGGATTGGGACCGGGGGCACCGAAAGAATCGGGGTTGCGGGGACCGAAAGAAACGGGATCGGAACCGGGGAACCGAAAGAACCGGGAGCAGCACCGGGGGAACCGGGAACAGAACCGGGGAAACGGAAAGAACCCGGGAGTGGTGCCGGGGGAACCGAAATAACCGGGATTGGGGGCACCGAAAGAAGCGGGATCGGGACTGAAAGAGCCGGGACCGGGAGTGGAGAGAGCGGGGGAATCGGAGGAACGGAAAGAACCGGGAGCGGCACCGGGGGAACCGAAAACACCGGGAGTGGGGGAACCGGGGGGATCGAAAGAACCGGGATCGGGGCCAGGGGAACGGAAAGAACCGGGAGTGGGACCAGGGGAATCAAAAGAACCGGGAGCGGCACCGGGGGAACCGAAACAACCGGGAACAGGGGAACCAAAATAACCGGGAGTGGGAGAACCGAAAGAACCTGGAGTGGAACTGGGGAACCGAGACCGGGGGCACCGAAAGAACCGGGATCAGGGGAACCGAAAGAACCGGGATCAGGGGAACCGAAAAGACCGGGAGCGGGTCCAGAGGAACCAAATCCGGGAGCGCGGGAACCGAAAGAACCGGGAACAGAACCGGGAGAACTGAAAGAACCGGGATTGGGGCCGGGGGAACCGAAACAACGGGGATTGGGGGCACCGAAAGAAGCGGGATCGGGACTGAAGGAGCCGGGATTGGGGAACCCAAAAGAACCGGGAGCGGGACCGGGGATATGGAAAGAACCGGGAGCGGGAGAACTGGGGATAGGGGAACCAAAAGAAACGGGAGCGGGAGAACCGAAAAATTGGGAGTGGGACCGGGGAACCGAAAGAACCGGGATCAGGGGATCTGAAAAAACCGGGACTGGGAGAACCGGGGGTACTGAAAGAACCGGGAGTGGGAGATTGATGGGATTTATGGGACAGGATCCATGGGATGGGATTTGGAATCTGGGATTTATGGGATGGGGTGGGATGGGATGGGATTTATAGGATTTATGGGATTGATTTATGGGATTGATTTATGGGATTTATGGGATGGGATGTGATTTGGGATCCATGGGATTTGGGATCCATGGGATTTGGGATGGGATTTATGGGATGGAATCAAGGATGGGATTTGGGATGGGGGAGGGGAAGGGAAGCTCCTCTCCGCCGCCCCAAAGCTGGCAGTGCTGAATCGCTGACTCAGCGCATTGCGCAAACCCAGCACCGCTGCCGAGTCCATCACGGGCACGGAGCACCGGACAGTCCGGGGACACCAGGATTGTCCTGACCGGACACAGATCCCGTTCTTCCCACACACCGAGCCAAAAAATCCAGAAATCCAAAACCCTAAAACCACCCCACCCCGTAGGTGTCTATGGAGTACAACCCCGGCTGGAACGGTTCGTCGGTGAGGTATCGAGGTGTCCTTGCATTTGCGCTTAGACAGGAATTCTGTTTAAAAATAGGAGAATGGTCATTTTTAATTTTTTTAGTAGATAAATAATACAAAATACGAATGCACGAAAATCCAAAAATTCCAAATCCCAAACCCCGTAAGTGTCGATGGAGTACAGCCCTGGCTGGAACGGTTCGTCGGTGAGGTATCGAGGTGTCCTTGCATTTGCGCTTAGACAGGAATTCTGTTTAAAAATAGGAGAACGGTCACTTTAAATTTTTTACTAGAAAAATACAAAATACAGGAAAATGCAAAAATTCAAAATCCTGAACCCCGTAGGTGTCGATGGAGTACAACCCCGGCTGGAACGGCTCGTCGGTGAACGTGCTGCACGTGCGGGCGGTGGGCTCGCGGGACAGCCTGCACTACRTCTGGAGCAGCCTGGGGGCTCCGGCCGCGCTCCTGGTGGCCACCAGTAGCCCCAGCAGTGTCCTGAGGCTGGACTGGCCACGCCTGCTGTCCACCAGCCCGGCTGGAGCCGTGTGGATTGAGCCCCGTGACAGCGTGGTGGATGCGGCGGCTGTGGTGTTCACCAGGGTATGGGGGAATGGGGGTTTGGGGGATTTGGGGGTGCTGGGCTCGTTCCTGTTCCTGTTCATTTCCATCCTATTTCTGTCCCATCCCATCAATCCCATAAGTCCCATCAATCCCATCAATCCCATAAATCCCATTGACATCCCATCTTATCCTATCCCATCCCATCCCATTTCTGTCCCATCCCATCCCATCCCATCCCATCCCATCCCATCCCATCCCTGTCCCCATCCCATCCCCACCTGTCCCAATCCCATTCCCATCCCAAATCCCATCCCACCCCATCAATCCCATCCTATCCCATCCCATCCCATTTCTGTCCCATCCCAATCCCATCCCATCCAACCCCATCAATCCCATCCTATTCCCATCCCATTGATCCCATCCCATCCCAAAAACCCAAATCCCATTTCATAAATCTGATCAATCCCATCAATCCCATTCCCATCCCATCCCATTTCCCTCCCATTCCTGTCCCATTCCTGTCCCCCTTCCTGTCCCCCTTCCTGTCCCCATTCCTGTCCCATCCCCATTTGTCCCCGTTCATTCCCATCCCATTTCTGTTCCATTTCCATCCAATCCCATCCCATAAACCCCATTTTCATCCTATGGATCCCATCCCATCAATCCCATAAATCCCATTCCCATTGATCCCATCCCATCCCATCCCATCCCATCCCATCCCATCCCATCCCATCCCATCCCAATACAATAAATCCCAAATCCCATCAATCCCATTCCCATCCCATTCCACTCTCATTCCCATCCCGTTCCCATTCCCGCTGTCCCCATGGTGTCCCCT